TACAAATTCCTTCTTTACCTGTGGCTATCCATTTTATTCCCACACACTTGAACTTATCTTTTAAATTTAAGCTTCTGTATCAGAACCGGGATTTTAATTTTAGGTTTAGAAATAACACTGCACGTTACTCCAACTTCTAACTTCAAATTCCGATTATTCTCCTTTACATGGGCCCACCAGCGGCCGAGCGGTGGCGTCGCTGAATACTGGTATTTCGGTCCGAGGTTCGAATTCCGCGAACGGGCTGGCTGCGTAGGTGCTTTTCGTGGTTTTCCCCATGTGTAACGTGTATACGAGTCAGTTTCCTTTAAAAAGTCCTCCACGAAGGCATCCCTCCCTTAAGGCAAATAGCCCTCAAGTGCTTTACCGTAGTCTAATAAACCAAACCTTTACATGAATATCAACAATCCATTTCCTTTCTTTGGTATCTTGAACTAACGCTTAATGTTTCTACATAAATTTCCACTTCTTCCTCAGAGTCTCATTTAGAAATTTAAATGGTTTCTTTTTATTTATTTATTTATTTATATTCATAGCTCGATCTTATCATTTCGTAGCTTTTACACAGATCCGCAAAATGATTGGTCTTTTAATATTTATGACAAATTTTCCCATACGTAGGACACTTTCGATATTCATGAAAAGTTGCGAGTTTAGAACACTCTTTCATCACTTGTTTCTCGGTATTTATCTCTTTATTGTGTTATTGTTTCGTTTATTTTGTACTGTGTTTACAACAGTATCTTCAAATTTTCGTATTTTATTTAATACAAACTTATTTCTATTGACCTGCATACGTCAACAATTTTTTTCTAGTGCTAATGATTTTTTTCTGATGTTTTATACAATAATCTTGCTTTCACTACATCGCTTCTAATACTGCAAACAAATTAATTTTTATATTAAGGTCCTGGTAATTGTGAAATTTACATGATACAGCTTTGTTTAGAAGGCCAATTGCAAAAATTATCTATGATTTCTACGTAATAGTTTTCTTAGAAATACTCTATTTTGTAAAACGTATCTAATTTAAGCTCTTTATCAACGTCTTCCTGCAAACTATGATATATTAACTCGTTCAGTGCCGTTCAGAGGCGTAGCTAGGGTTTTCAGCGCCCTGGGACAGCTAAAGAATTTCTGCCCCTTTCTGTGTGCTAAGAATGGAAAACATTTCATTTAAAAATTTCGGAACATCGGTTTTGCACCCCCTGGATGCTGCGCCCGGTGACAGATGTCCCCCCTTTCCGCCCCCCTAGTTACGCCACTGGTGCCGTTCTCGAGTTAAAACTCGGCACTGAACAGGTTAAAACCGCCACTTCCAATTACAGGTAAAAAGTATCAATTCTGACTTCCTTACTCATGCAAGTCATTCACTACTTCAGAATTCGAAAGGACTAAAGCCATCTTTCAAGCTAAAGAGGAGATTTCCATTAAATTTAATCGAATTTGGTGTTTTTAAACTTTCAATTAAAAAATAAACACTATATAATATCTTCTAACACTATATAAAATAAAGTTTAACTAAGAAAATTTATTCATTGTACAACACAAAATTCTGAAGTATTGTAAGGATTATGTTAATTTTATTAACAGTTAAATTTTAACTTAAAGTTCCTTTCCTGTCAAATTCTTAACTTCAACTTACTACTTCCGCCCAGAACGTAGTTTTGGAATTTGCTGAATATTTAATGAGAAGGAGCGGTATTTAAACCACGAAGTTACTTACCGAGACAGAGAGAGAAACAGAGTTTCTGAACTACGCGCGTCTGCCTTTTTGGTCGCTCTCTCTCTCAAAGCTGTTATACGCTCGGCCGTACACAGGCCCTTGCTAAGCTTCGTAGTAAAAATAGGTTAAGGGGCCAACTCTCATTGTACCTTGATAGCTTTGGCTATACTTAGTTAAATCTTAGTTTTAGTTTAATTCTTAGTCTTTTAAGTTCAAGTCCAAAGTGCGGACTTTATTTGTTCAGTCCCAGGCGGAGTCTTGTTAAATCTTATAGAAATAATAAAGGGTTATTTACCCTTCTCTCTTGTTGTTTCCTGTCTTCGAACTCTAGCTATTATTCGCTTATCAGTTCCTAGGTTCCTCACTTCCAACATTAACTTAGAATTTCAAGTGAGGGACCTTACAGTATTATAATACTGCTATTTTGATTTAAATTCTAAAATATATATACACACTGTATTTACACATTTTTAGAAATGTTTCGGGGGGAAAAAAAAGCAAACGCTTTGGAATAAAAATTTTTGGCAACAGCTTATTATGTGAAATGAGGGATATCGTCAGCAAGTTTTAAATTTATTCTTATTTCAAAATGTCGCATGTGAACAAGCTGTAGACTGAAGGGTAGCTTTTGAGCTTTACGAAGAGAACTATTCCTATTCCATAATTCAAAAGCATTTCGAAGTGAATGGTGTTAAAATTTCTAAGTGCGAAATAAATAATACTATTAATCTGGCCATCAGTCATTACTGCTACTTGGAAAGAAGACTCTCAAACGAATACATCCAAAAGGTACTGTTTCTAAATTTAAATCGTTGGTGCAAGAGAAATCCGCCGGCTCAAAAATCGATTGCAGAGTCTTTAAATACACCTGTAGTAGTAAAAAATAAGATAATTAATCAATATTTAAAAGATTGAAAAGCTAAAAAACATAATGCTCACCAGATTTTTTTCGAAGGCACGTGGCGCTACGCAGAACAGTTTGTAGAACACTGCATGAAAACTGTTTAGGAGGAGATAAATGGAAATACATTGTGCCACTTGAAGAAGCATGTGTTTACCTAAATGACTGTAACAATAAAATATCTATTTATTATCGAAAATGAATAGGAAAAAATATACAAACCTGGTTCCATCAAAGGAAAGGAAATTTCAATAAGGAGTCCATGATAGCTGTAGGATTTTCTCACAACGGAAAATTAATAAGTGTGGAAAATGTGTTAAAATCAACTCAACGGGCTATCAAGAGAAAGTTTTCTATCCGATTTACAGAAAAAAAATTGCATTTCTTTATTCTAGTGACTTCCAAGAAAGAGAGAAATTTCACCATTGCTAAACTATCATTCTCCCTTCTTTTCCGAAATTCGAAAAGTGCATATATATTTATTTAATTTTAGATGATCTTTTAATGTGTTTTATAAATTAAACAATAGAAAGTATAGAAAATAGTGACAAGCATAAAAACTCGAATAAAATTAGCTATTTATATTCAAAAACTAAAACTAAATACTTAATAGGCAAATTAAAAGCTGACAGCATCCACCCCCAGGAGACTACGGAATTCCCCTTAGTTGAGAAACCTTGATCTAAGCTGTCTGTTTCCTACAGTAAAATGGGATGGTAAGCTAGTTATGCTTTGGACAAGCATAGCATCAATTTAGAATTCAAACAACAAAAATGAGCGTTATATTTGCAAATTTTCAGAGGACTAGTTCCGATGGCTCGGTAAAACCATCGAAATCAGGGTGTTACTTTACCGTAATCATAGCATCGTTTACAACAAATCCGGTTCTCATCTTTACATCAAAAGCTGTAGCTAGGGTTTTCAATGCCCGAGGACAACTGAAGATTTCGCTCGCTATCCTGTTTGCCCAAAATGGCAAAATTTTGTACGAAAAATTCGTAATGTCAGTGCCCCAAGATGCTGGAGGCTGCACCCCAAGACAAATGTTTTCCTTTGCTCCCTTACAGCTACGCCACTGATTTATATTAGTGAAACTTTGAGTCTAGAAACGCAGGGGAACTTGAAGGCTGTACCAAAGAGGGAAAAATGCCACCCACTCTCTTAGAGATAAAATTGAGTATCCTTTTTATCTCTAAAATATATGATTTATTGCATAAAACAAATAAACAATCCAAACCACTCAATATTTTAAGAGTCTCATTAAAAAGTAGTAAAGTGCAGTAGCCGAGTTCGCATGTGTTCCTTGGATTTGAAGTTCCGCTTGTGTAAACAGGCCTTTACAAGGAAAAATAAATAGTAACGACTATGTAACCATTTAACAGTGCCATTAGTATAGACAATATTCCTGAAGGGTAGATGTACCTGTCAAATTGATAATGCCCTCCTTCGTCAAAGTGATATTGGTCAAGGTGTGAAGAACATGGCGTTTCACATCTTCTCTGGCCATATTTACCATATTTAAAAATCACAGAAGCATTCTAATCTGCGCTGGAAAATTGGCAGAGATCCTATTTTCCATCACCAGTATTTCTGAAGGAACTAGAGTTGATTTTGATAGATCAACAGTGTCGTAGCTAGGGTTTTCAGCGCCCAGGGACAACTGAAGATTTCGCGCCCCCTACTGCTTGCGAAGGATGGAAAACATTTAATTCTAAAATGTGTTACATCAGTTTAGCGCCCCTTGGATTCTGCGCCCGGGGACAGATGCCCCCTCTTGCCCACCTCTAGCTACGCCCCTGTAGATCAAAGGTATAAAACACTTGTTATCACCATTTAGAAATTGTATGCTTCCGCTTCTAAACGAATTTAAGCTGTTTTGGTTAACAGAGAAGCTCCTACACCATATTAAGCACCCAATCCATTTTTCTAGAGGATTCTGTTATTCACGTTGTAATCTCGTAAAATTCAGATTGTAATATCAGTATTTTGAAAACAATAAAGTGAAAACTTAATTTTTCTCTTTGTATTAACACATAAACGGCTGACGGTGAAGGAAACTTTAAGAGCTCTAACACTCAATTTCATAAATTTTGACCTAAAAATATTGTTATAATTTTAAAGTGTATACGCGACATTCTTATACTTTCGACATATATTTATGTTTTTTATTGTAATTCGGTCTTATTCGCGTATCACCCAACAGCCCAATTCTTATTTAGGATATTCTCCGGAGAACAGCCTTGACGTCAAATGAGGAATATCCCTTATTTAATATATGGCAAATATAGAAGAGCACTATATATCAAGCCTATAAACTGTTGGTCTTAATTTAAGAAGGAATTTATTTACTCAACATTAAGTTTAAACCGCGGTGGAAGTTTCGCTGTTTGAATTCGAAAGTAAAACGCACTTAATTTCCTGAAACAGAATTTTGTAAATATTAAAATGGCTAATAATAATAAATCTGAAGGTATTAAATTAGACTTCTTTATCGTCGAAGCTTTTGCGAATCAAGCGTTTAAAGGCAATAGTGCAGCAGTGTGTTTAATTCCGCGTGGGCAAGTATGCTGATTGAAACGTCTACATGATGAACTTAAACATATGGTTATCAAATTCTAATAATTGTGTTACTCATAATTATGTAACGTTGTTACTACCTTAATTGTAATTTGTTCTGGTATCTTTTTACTGGTTTGGGTATTTCCTAAATTTTTCATGTTTAAGAATATAACAGATTATTTAGAGAACATACTACATACTCATATTTAGCGAACATAAAAATCAACATTTAAAGTGCTTCAGAAAGAGTTTTAAAGTTTTTTTTTTTTTTTTTTTTTTTTTTTTTTTTTTTTATCAAAAACGACTGTTTTTGAGTGGTATAAGATGCTTAAGGAAGGTAGAGAGAGTGTGTTGAAGATGATCCATGTTCTAATAGATCATACACTACAGTTAATAAACAAGTCGTAGATCAAGTTAGAGATTTAGTTGCATAGCAGTTGTCATTTAACAATTAAAGATATTACTGAGCAAGGTTCACACGAATCCTTTCAAATCATTGAAAGATAAGTTTGCTTATTGATCTTATCTAAAAAAATTGATTTTTTCTCAAAAACTACTTGTTCAAATAGCCCGATGCCTTTTTGAGGTGAGTTATCATTAAAATGCTGATTATTAATTAAATCTGATAAATTAATTAAGATGGTTATTATTAAATTATTACTGGTGATGAAATATGGATCAATACTTTTGATATATAAAAGCACAAAAATCAAATGAAATGGTGCTGAAAAGTGAAGCAAACTTGAAGACCATGTCAGAAATGGTCAAAAATCAAAGTAATGTGTATTAGTTTTTTAAGTTTTGCTGTGTTGTATTGTACTTAACTAAACTGTTAGCAAAGAATATTATTTAATTGTATTATTCCATTTGCATGAAGAAATTTGTAGAAAGCAATCCAAACTATAAGATAATTTATGAATTTTGAATATAAGATAATTATTGAATTTTGAAATGTAGTAATGCTGCACTGCTGCTCTTGAATTTTTAATCCCAAATTCAACCAATACAGCTTTGCAAACTCTAGCTGGTATAGCTCATGTGGCTTTTTCTAATTATAGTCACCATTATTCATTATGAGTTTTACACCACTGATAGTTTCACAAAAATGACTCTAAAATATGTATTGAAAAATATATTCACATACATACATTGCAGCTGAGAGGATTATTTTGAAAGAGATGGTAATAAATATTGATCTGTAAATTAAAATATTTTAATTAAGATACAATAACATGCCAAACAAGTATTAATTTATAAGTCAAACAACAAAAATCAGCATTATAATTTTCAAATTTTCACAGGACTAGTTTTGATGGTTTTACCAAACCAATCATCCTCAGCTGCAAAAGCGCAATATATGCTCAACACTTCATATGGCAGTGCTCCGCAACCGGTGTGCCATGAGTAGGATTTAGGTGTGCCGCAATCAAATACATGTATTTGACATTTTGCAATTTTTTATCATGTATTTAATACACAATGACAATTTTTTTTTTCCTTAATAATGTCTATTTTAAATGTTTTTATATATTTCACTGTTGTGTGGTTGTGTGTGTCAAACATTTGTTTGAACCAACGCAAAATGCCAAAACGAAATCAATAGCCTTTTGGGGCTAAAAATTTAGAACTTTTAGTGTGAAAAATCTAGCACAAATGTAACTAAGATTGATCAAATTTAAATTTTTAAAATTTATTGTTTATACTATCAGGAGAGAGTAATATGCTTGTGAAAAAGATTATTGCAACCAGTATAAATATTTAACGAATAAAAATTAAGCAAAAGAAATTTATTTTTTAGTCCAAAAAAGGTGCAATTTGCTCTGTTGGACTATTATTTTCGTTTTGGCATTTTGCGTTGGTTCACTATAAATGTCCGATTCACTATTCAAATTGTTGCCACCCAATATTATTGCCCTGTATTATATTTAATGAAATTAAATAAGGAAGAATCTGCATAAACGTATCTATATTTCTTGCATTGGGATAAAACAACGGTACCTAGAGCCATCCAATTTTGAATAACGTACGTTTCCACCCGAATATGGGCATCTGGAAGCCCAAATTTGGAATTTGCTTTATTATCAATTTCATATTGAGTAAAACTTTAACGAATTTTTAATTAACAGACTCACAGATTTAAAAGTGAGCAGTGACAACACTCTACGAGGAAAAAAAACGCGCAGAACTGTGTATCGGAAATTCTAAAGCTATGCTGATTTTAAAAGTATTTTGCGACATTGCTGTTAAACTGAATTTTATGGTTTAAGTGTAAAAGACATGATATTTAATAAATAAAGGTAACACACAAAATATTAAAAAAAATGCCCCTTTAAACATAATTTAAAATCTGAAACCTTTCAGATTTTTTTCTGAATTAATGCTATATTAAATTTTTAACTCATTTTATTTTTTAAATGTTTTTATTATATTAATTTTCTGAACTAAAATCTGGAAGGATTAATGTAAAAATTCATTACAATAAGTTTCTGATTAACTAACTTCTGTAATGTATGTAGTTTCTGTGTGATTAACCTTTGCCAGGATAATCTGAAAAAGCATACAAGTCTTTAAAGGTTAAAATTATGCATATTGATATTATTAAACCTGGGCTTAATTTAGGAACTAAAGGTCCTACTGTAAGCCATCAAGAACAGTGAATGAAAAATGATTATAAATTAAACAAATAGAACAAGGAATAATTAAAATCAAATAAAATGTAAAGTTAAAAGGTATGTTTTAATTTTAAAACTAATGGTATATAAAGAAATAATAAGTAAATCGTAAAATTTATATGAATATTGAAACAAATGAAAAGTAAGAAAATTAGTAAGATAGGATACGAAAGACAAAAGAAAGGAAGATATTGAATACACACATATACATGCAAATACACACATTTACATAATATACACACATATACAAGCAAAAACATATCTCGGGCAATTTGGAATTTATATTTTGTTGATTTTACGCCTGTTATCAAATTTAATATTGCTTTTAGTTTTTCGCATCATTTTAAAAATCAAGGATAATGCAAAGAGTATACAGAAATAAACACTTTAATTTAATGATAAAAGAATGGATTGGATTGGATTATTTAAGTATGGCAAAGCACACGAGGGCTATCTGCCTAAAGGGAGGGATGCCTTCGTGGAGAACTTTTTAAGGGAAACTGGCTTGTATACACGTTACACGTGGGGAAAACCACTAAAACGCCCATGCAGCCAGCCCGTTTGTCCGAGGATTAGAACCTTGGACCGAACTACCAGTGTTCAGCGTCTTTACCGCTTGGGCGTTGGTGGGCAATAAAAGAATGAAATGACAAGAAACATTTGTATTTTAGGCAGAATTACAGCTATAAAAACTGAAGATAAGGGAATTACAGATATTTAAACATGCATAAGCACAAAAATTGACAATTAAAACTTTTATATAATAATCTTAATATTACTATTAATAATTGTATTACTTTCCTGTCAATTACAATTTAAGCTGCAGTATAGTTTTCATTGTTTCTAAGCCATATAATTAAATTCTCAAATAAGAATGTTTCAAAAATATTTTAAATGTATGCAATAAAACACGAAAAGCATTAATATAAAAAAAGTTTTCAATAATTTCAGACACTTATTTCGTTTGTTAAACGAATTGTTTATGTTTTGAATTATTGGAGTTCAGATTTGCCGATGAATTTGCAGTTTGAAAACATTACACATTAGAATTACATATCAAGAACTTTAAAAAAAAAAAAAAAAAATCATGTTTGCATCATTTCTTAGACAAAACGCTCAGAATATATGAACTATTTCGGGGATCACCCAATTTTTGAGTGTTGTTTAAATAACAATTTGGTTTAAAGTACATTTGCTTTGCTCTTTATTTGTAATTGCTTTTGAATTTCGGATTTGCGTATGATGGCTTTAAACCAATTTGTTATTTTTTTTTAAAGGTCAATTTGCATAATGAAAAGTTTTATGATTTTTTTGAGTAGTCAATTTGGCACAATGTTATGTTTTATTCATTTTTCCAAGTGTTTCGAAAGCGTGTAGAGAAAATTCGGTACTTACATATTAACGCAACCAGGCCAAAATTCGCATAAATCGCCAAATTTGGCGTTCCTACTTACAGCAACCCTATGTGTTATACGTAGTTTTTCGTAAAGAAATTATTTTTCTTACTGGTTAGATTGAATGCCTTGAAATACTTTAATTACTTTTTTGCAGAATTACTTTTTTGGTTACTGTACTTAACAGAAGTGCCGTTACCCTCATGGAAAAAAATTGCGAAAATATCAAGGAAGGAAGCATCATTTATTCGGATTGCTGGAAAGGATACAATACAAGTGAGTTCGAAAATGCTGGATTTCTGCATGGAACTGTTAATCACAAATATAACTTTGTGGATCCCAACATAGGCGTTCACACACAACATGTAGAGCGCATGTGGGGCTCAGCGAAATGGCGCAACAAAAAACAGAGAGGAACAGCCTGTCATCATCTTGACTCATACCTTATCAAATTTATATGGCGCCAAGCTCAAGACCCTATGTGAAAATCATTCACAAGCAAAATCATACTTCGTTGAATATCCAACGGACAAGCAGCGTGGATAATAATCTGGCAAGGACTTTTGCTCGCAGGCAAACTGTAGTTACGGTTCTTACGTATTAATGCAACCAGGCCAAAATTCGCATAAATAGTCAAATTTGGCGACCCTACTTATGGCAACCCTATATGTGTGGAAATAGACGAAAGTTTATTTGTAAAAAGAAAAAATAACATTGGGCGTGTACTACTACAGCAATGGGTTTTCGGCGGAATTTGCCGAGAAAAGAAAGAGGCTTTTTTGGTTACTCTACCTAACAGAAGTGCCGTTACCCTCATGGAAAAAATTTGACGAACAGCCCGTCATCATCTTGACTCATACCTTATCGAATTTATATGGTGCCAAGTTCAAGCTGTTAATGGCAAAGACGGTTTTCAATTAGTGCTAAAAGCAATAGC